CATAAAATTCATTCTCCAGTTAAAATTGGACCTTACAAGGAGTATTTTTGAGGATTACCGTCCAGCTAGCACCGAGTACAGATCGAGACCGAGAGTAACCGTTATGGTAAGCACTGTGGTTTTGAGTCGAATTTTGATAAAGCCAAAGATCAGAAAAACATGTTTAGTGTCCTGTCTTTTTGAGAAAAAACTAGGAGGAGGTCCTTTTTATTCCCTTCCAAAATGGCTGCCACTTGTACTCAGGAATTTGGGATATGTATGGTAAAGATGCAACAGGAAATATGTTTTTCATGTTTTTTCATAAAGGAAGGAAAAAAAGCAGGCGGCCTCAAAAAAGGAAGCGTTGGGCACGCTAAACATTTTTTCTTTATTTCGGCTCACGTCTTTAATCCCAGTTGTATGCGCAGGTACGTTGGAAATGAGGACAACACCATCGTTACTTTTAAATCAAACTAAAAGTACATCTTTTCATTTAACTGCATGTTGGAGATATTTTATGCACATCAAGAGCTCTTGCAGTGCAGTAGAATATCTTGGCATAATTTCTGCGCTTCATGAGAGGATATTTATATAATATTGGATGGTTTTGAGTGTGATACAAGAATATATTATTATTTAAACATATTTGTGGCTTACACCCAGTAAATAAGATCGATTGATCGATCTGTATTGAAAAACAAGTCAGAAAATATACAATACAGATCGATCAATCGATCTTATTTACTGGGTGTAAGCCACAAATTATTATGTTTAAATAATAATTGAAATTTTTCCCAGGAAGCACTACATATAAAAAAAAGAATTATTGCTCGAGCTATGACAATGTTGGACGAGTCGCTAGCTCGAGCAATATGTTCTTTTTTATATGTAGTGCTTCCTGGGAAAAATTTCAATTATTATTTCATCTATATCAGGCTGACTAGCGAAATAATAAAATTCGACTTACCTCGGTAAATGTAACCAAGCAATATTGTATCGACATTAGAAGTTTCCGGATGACAGAGCAATACGAAAACAATGTAATTGATCTGACATCCGGTTACTGCGCAAATGATAGTTAATACACTGATTTTATTGTACCAACTTTTGGAAGCCTTATATACATGTAGATTATAATATATCATATTCTCTCGTATAGAGCCGTGTTAAACATCATATTATATACCACTAGCTATATGTAAGCTTATTATTAGAGTTGAAGGCCGACATACGGTTTGTTTGTATACTTGATTGCTACCTGCTTTAAATGTGTTTACATTTATGTTTTTCTCCTGAATTTACTTACCAATTATTATATTCACCTACTTTACATGATGGCATCTCGAAGGATTGAATCCATTTTGCATCCACTAACTGTTGCTATGTCTGGCAAGGCCATGTCAAGCTTTTGACTTGTGGAAACTTTTCCTCAAGAAGAAAGCATAAAATTAGAGTAAACTAACATGCCCATGGCAAGGCACTTTTATCCACCCAACGCGATCAGTGATTCGATGTATACTGTAAATGTAATGTTTTAGAATCACCAAAATGAAAAGAAATTGACACAATGTTACTAGACACATAGGCCCGTATTCTGAAGTCGTGTCTTACTCCTGTTTAACTAAACAGTTGTTTAACTTAGACATGGCTAAGTTAGACACGACTTCAGAATACGGGCCATTATATTTATACATTATAGTCAATTATGCTTTAGTGACCCACCTGTATAGAAAGACCACCTGTCTACACAGACCACATTTTTGTTTCCCTTGAAAATGGTTTCTCATTTAAACATGTACTTAAAGGCATCGTTTAACAATGTCAAATCTGAGATGCATGGCCCTACGTGTTATCAGTGTCTGTGATATGGTGTATTATTATCTGTATATATAAGGCTTCCAAGTGGTACAATAAATCAGTGTATTCGATTTCTTTAGCGCAATACCCGGATGACTGACCAATATTGTTTTCATATTGCTCAGTCATCCAGGAAGTTCAACTATCGATATCACACGAAAAACAATATTTACCGAGGTAACTCAAATTTGTTATTTCGCTAGTCAGACTAATATAGATAATATTAATAATATTGTATGGCTTTGTTTTCGTGTGATACAAGATAATATTGCTCTCGCTAAGACAATATTCGACTCGTCTTCGACTCGTCTAATACTGTCATAGCTCAAGCAATATATTCTTGTATCACACTCAAAGCCATCCAATATTATATAAATATTTTAAACGAAATTGCGCTTCAAAATTATCATGATGTGCCTCAAAGGACATTATTACCGCGGCGAGACTCGAACCGCGGAACTTGTGATCCACAGTCCCGCCGGTGACGTATCCACTCGACCTCGACACATCAATGTTTATGATATTTGATTAAAATATGTGTGGAGAAATTTGAAACTTTTGTATCCAAAACGGCAGAAGCTTATAGATTACCTCCAAATTTATGCTTTTCAAGAATAGATTTTATCAGTGGTTCCATTCCGTCATGACTACATTGACCAGAAAACAATATTTCATCCATTCTGTGTACCTGTATTTATCTGTGTATTTCAATTTTATGAATAGAACTGCATTTAAATAATTTTGTTCAAATAAAGCCTCAGTTAATGAATAGTAACGAGATAATGAAAGCATTACAAATATGAAATGGAACCTTAACCACTGATAAAATCTATTTTGTAAAGTATAAATTTGAAGGTAATCTATAAGCTTCCAATTTCTCCACACATATCTTAAACAACCATCTCACGATTCGTCAACTAAAAAGCTGTTTAATATATTTATACGTTACTTTTTTGTATACGTATGAAACGCATAGTGCAATAACCTGCTATAGCACTGCATATTCATTATCAAATGCACTCGCAAAGTAACATGGATTATTTGTAAGTTGATGTGAGGCTGTAAGTACTGTCATGCCACGTTAAAAATACTTAAAGCTAAAGACCAGTTATGGTCATGCAATTGCATCAGAAAATCGATGTACTGCAAGGTTCTGGAATCATCAAAATTATAAGAAATTTGGCCAAGTCTTCATAAAGTTAGAAGCACTGTACACAGAAAGATGTATATGGGACTACACACACGTGCGCGACACGTGCATTTGTATCTCCCAACAGTATATAGATATACTAATTTACCAAATATATCAATTAGTAGGCGGTTTCCCGTCAACATTTTTATCGTCATGTAATATTCAAAACATATTCTTTCACATGATTGGTAATAAGAGCTTCCATTTCATTTTTTGAAATTGGGGCGCTTCCAATACTGGTCTTTACCTTTAACACATTAAAAAATACCAAACATGTATTTGCAGTAGTTAAGATGTGATGCCTGGTTATCCAATTTAAGCCAGAGGGCCTACTTGAACTTTGGACGTTATTGAGATAGGAGCTACCTATCGATTTTATCCATTGTTTTTACGTGTCTACGCATTACATGGCTTAAAGGGAAAGTCCACCCTGAAATTAAGGTAGTTTTAATAGGAGTAGAAAATTGAGAGAAACAAGTCAGTGAAAGTTTGAGCAAATTCCGATTAAAAATAAGGAAGTTAGGATTTTTGAAGTTGTGATCAATCAAACACAAATTGGCAACTCTATGACGTATCATGCGAGCTCAACTTCCATTTGCTCAGTACTAAAAAAATATAAAATTTTCATTTTCCCTCAAGAAAAATTTCAACCATACATGCACCCTAAATATAATAATTGCAAATATGTTTCTATACTCCCCCTGCAAGGAACAAATATATATTCCGTCATCAATAACGAAGAAAACATGATTTTATGGAATATTATGCACAAAGCAAATGAAGGAGAGCTCGTATGATAAGTCACAGAGTTGCCAATTTGTATTTGATTGATCACAACTTCAATAATTCATAACTTTCTTATTTTCATTCAGAATTTGCTCAAACTTTCACTCACCTGATTTTCTTATTATTCTGCCTCTATCGAAACAAACTTATTTTGGGGGTGGACTTTCCCTTTAAAGATAAAGTTGAGTTCTGGTCATGTGATTGCATTGTGAAAGAAACGGTGTGGAATCTATCAGAAAAGGTTGATCATCTAGTATATACGTATTTGTGTGTATTGCAAGGTTCTGGAATCATTAAAATGATAAGAAATTTTGCCAAATCTTAGCAAAGTTACAAGCACTGTACACAGAATGATGTATATGGGACTACACGAGCACATGGCGAAAAAAACCTACCCCGGATTTTTACGATGTTTCATGTCATATTTAGAATATGAAGGCATTTGAAGAGCCATGCTTTTCAGGGAACATGTTTAATCTGATGTTCTTCCGTTCTTGCATAATAACAATGTTAACGCTCACAAATTATTTTTTACCTCTTCCCAGAACTCAACCTTCTCTTTAATTTATGATATGGGACCACTTTTCCACGATGAATCATCTGTCAAAGAAGATCGACAATGCCTACCACTTCCCCCGTTTACTTACACCTTACAAGGCCCCTCAGTTCTTAAAGCTCCTTTAAAATGTTTGGAGCCCCAAAATGGTGGCAAAATTTCACTTAATTGTATCATAATGTCATTTAAAGCTCATCAGTACTAGTGTAAAAGAGGGATTAGACCAGCCTACAAGGTCACTGGACAGGTGGTTATCTCATCAACTCAGCTCTCAAATAACATAAGAAAAAGAGGATCATGGGGGACCAATGGTCACCGATTAGGCATTGTTTGTTATATAGAGGGCGCAAGTAGCTACAAGTAGTGCAGTGGGCCTTTAAGACACACTTCTGCAATAATTCCCTCCCAAGAATGTGTTTGAAAACAAATGTCTGTACAAGAATACATTATTTGGGTTTCCTTTTGTACGTAGATTTTGTATTCTTTCATCAATATTCGATTTCAAACACATTTGTTTGAAAAATCCTTGCAGAAATGTGTCTTAAATGACATCCTCTTTCACATTATGATAACATTTTTCCCCATCAATCTCCTCTTTGAGCTGCCATTATAGCCACTACTCAAAACAATAATCGTGAAATCAACAAAAGCAATGGAAGATAGAGCTGTTTTATAAAACGTGCTAAATTGCTAGATAAGAAGGGATATTATTATTATTGTCCGCACGTATACTTTCGAGATGAAATAATGTTTCTTGTTGTATAATTATAAAAAGCTTATTATACTGGGCAAATTTAATGTTAATTCAGGCGTATAATTGTAATTATTTCCGCCAAATTGTCAGTTTTCTCTCAGTCTTGAAACGGAAAAGTAAGGTAGTGGCAAGCAGAACAAAATATGAGAAAAGGCTCATTATATTCCGCTGATTCTTGATGTATATAAGAACCTTTTTTTCTTATACTAGATCTTATGTTAAGCCAGGCGTAAATGTAATTACATTATTTCCGCCAAGTTGTCATTATTCCTGAGTCTTGATAAGAAGCAATGTAGAGGCAGGCGGAATAAATAATAATGAGAAAAGGCTCGATATTTTCTGTTAATCCCAGTTTTATTTTCTTGATCTGCATTTTAAAATTATTATTTCTGTCGCCAATGTTCATGTTAGTCAGTCTGAATATATTGTACTTGTAATTCATCTTCTTTGGCAAACGTATCAAAATTACGAGAAGGCGTCATGTAAATGCTTGATATTAGGTCGAGTCGTGAGTTGCCATTTTTTTTTTCTCATTCAGTTCTTTTCTCCATGATCTTTGGGAGTTCCTGCCTTAGTGGATACGTGTCTTTAAAAAAAAGCTGAACGACATAAGACATTGCTGGGCCCGGTAACACAAAGCTTAGCTATTGCTCGTATTATTGATTTGTTAACGATTAAATGCCCTGTTTTACTTGTTGTTGCGGTTGCTCTGTTTTGTCAAAAGATCTGCACAATGATGTGTTTTTCAAAATGAAAGCATCGAAGAACTCGTAACACGCATAAGAACGGTGCATGTTTTGTTTGTTTTGTATTGTTCGTCTGATTTAGGTTTCAATATCGCTGGTATTTGATGGTCGTATCATGACTAATTTAGTTTTATTCTCCTTTTCATGCAGATTTAATAAAGTGACCAGTTAAGCCATCATGGGAACTTTTCTTGGCCACATCCTCCCCGGGACTTTCTTCTTCATCTATGGACTGTTGTATATCGTCAAAGATGCCTTTAGTCTGTCTCTAAACTCAAGGAAGAAGTCCAGACCATCACCACGATCACCCGGAGAACTCTCTCCTCCATCAGAACATAACCAGGACAAAGATGTAGGTCTTGGCAGAAGTGTCTTTCATGGAAAGCTGGAAAAGGGTGCGAGTTCAACCAGTAACGGTTGGGAGAGCTTTGATTTTGAGTCAGATCACGAAGAGACATGCCTCTTTTCCCGCGAGGCAGACGACGCTTTCCCGCCAGATTCTGAACACAAATTGGAAACACGAGACCAAGATCTACACTGCGATTCGTTGGAGGTGCACGATACTGACGGACAACCAAAACGCAAGTGCGCGCCTCTCAAAGAATGGTTGACCAACACTTTAATCATTGAAGGAATCTTGAAGATTGCATGTGGCATCTTTGGCGCCATAGAGGAACTCTGGTGGGGAGGTTGGTACATCATCAGTCCTAGAACAGGCAACTTCACCAACATGAACAACTGGCAGCATGCAACCATGTTTACATACTTCGCCGTCAGCGGGGTAGCCGATATCGTCTTCCAGACATGCCTCAAGTGCAGGCCGTCGTCCCCATCAGATAGGCCTCGAGAGAAAATCTTCCTGTCGCTGGCCTTCTTTGTGGAGGGTCTTTTGTTTTTCTTCCACACGCACGGACGAGAGGAAATCGACGTCCATATCCACGTCCTGCTCGTTATCGCGATCCTCGTATGCGCCATCGGTGCCGGACTGGAGCCGTGGTCGTACACCCCCGCATCGCCGGGCGTCAGGCGCATGTGGGTCACGGCTACATGCGTTCAGGGCACGTGGTTCTGGCAAATTGCTTTCGTTCTATATAACCCGTGGAGAGACACCAACACAACACACGAAGTCGACGACGATGAGGTAATGCATAACATGATGATGATGACGACGATGTTCACGTGGCATGTTCTTGCCGTTCTTTCAATAACGTGCTTGATTCACGTAATTGTCAGGTATTTTTCAAAGTTTAGATGCTGCAAAAATTAGAGAAAAGTGTATATACAGACATTTTTTATCAATTAGATGATATATCATTTCAATGACTGGTGACAATTTGAGGTTTGTACATACGGATATAGTATTTATTTAGGGGAAGTCATTAAAAGCGAATTAGGAAGAATTCAACTGCAATATTTGTTAAATACTTTGCATAGGCCTACTTGCCAATATTCAGATGATACGTAAACTTTCTTTAATTACATAACGGCAGACATGGTTTGCAGTTTATACAAACTACTTTTTACAATGATAATTTACGTCGTTTAATGTATTTATTTTAAACAAATAAAAATGGACCAAACTCAAAGGTAATACAGTGAAACCTGTATATAAAGACCGCTCAAGGGAGACAATAAATTGATCTTTATAGGCAGGTTGTCTTTATGTACAGGTTTCGTTACTACTTTTTCATTGAGAAACCATTTTCAAGGGAAACCCGAAATGTGGTCTTTCTAGATAGGTGGTCTTTCTATTCAGGTGGTCACTAAAGCAGTTTTGATTATAGTAGAATAAAAAAGGGATTCGAGAAATTGCTGTCGTTAAGATAAAAAAAAAAGGATTAGATGATAAACATCAATGAACCTATGTGCAATTCTGAGTGAGGCGCCATGGCTTAGTGGTAGAGCACGGTCTCGTAACCGGGAGGTCTCGGGTTCGAAACCAAGTGGAGCGCTAGTGCTCTTTGGTTAGGGATTAATCCACATTACTAACAGCCTTTTCACACACAACTAAAATTCTATAAACATGATTGGTTTAAAGGGCTTTAAACTAATCACCTGTACATACGACATCATTCACATCATTTTCGGTGCGATTGTTAATCGTTTCGTGATTAACTACTGCTCGTAAAATGCGCAGTAGTGCCATTGCGCATTGAAGGTCATGTCATATCAATCAAAGCGCACGCTCCATCTAGTTTAAACACGTTTAAACACGAATAACCTTTCACACATAAAATGTCAAGCTCTCTAGATACGAACTTCGTATCTGCAGCCTACTTTTAGGGGCGTATGGATGGCGACTTCGTATCTATCCCAACATCGTATAAACGATGTTCACACAGGGAAAATTTTCTATAAACATGTTTAAAACTGTTGAGTTAAACACGTTTATACTAATCATCTCTAGATACGATGAATTTTAGCTGTTTTAGTGTGAAAAGGCTGTAGGTCCCTCCGAGAGGATTTAAAGTTGGCGGTCCCCTGGTTGCTTACTTGCAAGCATACACATGCTCTCCTGACAGTCAGGTTAAACAAGCAAACCAACCAAACTTCACTATTTTGAGTAATAACGTGAAAACTGGAAAGATTTTAATCATTTAAAAAAGTGAATGCTGATTATATAGAAATATGCAGAAATAAGCAGCAAATAAGGAAAATGTTTGTCTAGGAGCTAGCAGCTGACCTTTACTTAACTGATCTTGACAAAAGTAAATTTAACTGTAAAAAACGAAGCTCTTCCCTATTGAAATTATCAGATAACCGATCTGATTTGAGGTATTTTGTCCATATCCAATCCAAAAGGTAGTTCACACGACGCTTTTTCATTGCTTACATTTACAAAGCGATGCTCACGTTGATCCACATGTTTGGGCCACAACATAAATCACTTTTAAAAAAGACCAGAAGAGCCAAAAACAATCCAATGTCATTCAGGACAGCGCCCTCTTCGAAATAATTTCATCGGTAAGATTACAACTTAACGTAAAAGGGTAGTGTTTAAATTGAGTACCGAGCCATTGATTATGAAAGTTTGGTCAACCCGGTTCGAGTTAGGCACAATATGGCGAATACCGCTTTGTTGGGCCACAAAATAATACAAAAGAATATACGCAATGTTGTGACCAACTGAAACCAAGCTGGCCAACCTCTGTGTTAAGATGGCTTTGTTAATGAAGGCTACAAAACTAATCAATAAAAAGGTTAATTCATTTATTCAAAAGAATGAAATATGATGCTTGTTCATTCGAATTAATGTTTGCCGAAAACGATTGAAATTGTGAGTGTTTATGAAGAAGAAAAATCTTGGTCGAAGAGGCAGCTGGATGTTGTGCTGCTGATGTGCTGCTGATAATCATGTTGATGATGTTGGTAATTATGTTAATGATGACGATGATGATGATGACGATGATTGTGGTGATAATGGGGATGATGATGGTGGTGGTGGTGATGGTGATGATGATGATGATTATGATGGTGATGATGATGATGATGGTAATGAAGACGACTACGATGATAATGGCGATGGTATTGATGATAAAATTGGAATCTTTTTGTATCGCGGTACAAAATATTCCTACAATATCAGTCAAACAGCAGAGAAATACTTTCAAAAGACTTTCATACCAATATATACCCCTGTTTTCACATATAGAACCTTGCTTTCTGTCACCTTCTGAACTGATTTTTTTTCTCAACATCTATTTTCAAAAAGTTAACACAACCATTAAATTAGCATTATTAAGTTTTCATCTTAATTCAAAAGCCTTTAAGGAGAGGGTAACGCATAATACAGAGAGGGAGATCTCTCTGATATAAATTACCACTGATCGTGCAAATCTGTCTTACTGAGGCGTAATCGAAATTTGTCATTAGCTAAATTAAAGTCATAAGCTAATTACTTTCAAATTACTCTGTACGCTGCGTGAATTATTAATGTACCTACGACAAAGGCCTGTCACAAATTTCACCTTCACTCTCTCTTTCGAGCTCTGTCCGTTTCTACCGTGCCTTTTTTAAAACCATATACTGTCACACGAACTCTTGGGCAAATGTAGGAATAAAAGGATATATTTCAGGCAATGCAGCGCATGTGGTGGTGGAAAAGGAGCGGGGCGGGGGGGGGGGGGGAGCGAGTTATCTCCTGACTGGTATCAAACCAACAGCAAATAAAATGTAAAGAGTAACAACATGATCCAAGCTATTTATGAACACTATTTGAAAGTCGGTACTTATTATAAATGTTTTTTGCCAATCGAATACTTAAAGCAACCCCCCCCCCACATACGCGATGGCTCAGCGATAGAGCAGGGGTCACGTTTAACCAGGCCCAGGGTTCGAAACCAACTCAATGCACTCGTGTCCTTTGGACCTTTGGTAATGCATTTATCTTCATTACCAAGTCCCTCGGAAATGAATTAAAGCCGTCGTTCCCTTGGTTGCTTGCTTACAAGCATGGAAATATTCCTTATAGCTGTAAGGTAAAACTATCATCGAACAATCAAATATTTTGCACCCGCACAACGCTGTCATAAAGATAAAGATAATTGTGCCAAAGTTAAAGGATAACTATTCCTAAGGATAATACAAGAAACAGATAAACATAATAATAGGGAAACGGAGGGTCTACCTTATCTACTAACATATGAAACCACACCACGAAGAGAAAACGGTGCAAAAGAGAACGGATGAAATTTGAAGTCATTTTGAAAGATATCCTGACATCTGTTTCACATTAAAAAATGTAAGAATAACACAAGGCAAATTTATAAAGAATTCTTGCCTTTATAGCACCATTTTCGGTTGCAGTGTAAAAGCAGATAATTTTGCATGCGGCGTAATAAGCAAAAGAGAGGAATAAACTTAAATAAAAGTTGCGTCGAATCATATCCAGAATAGGAGAGTATAAACGTGTGGATCAAAAATCTATTCACTACAGAATATACTCTTCATATTCCGGAGTTATTGGGGTACGTTAATACCCCCCCCCCCTCGGAGAATTTTGACGCTCCGGAATGAAAATTGCTCAGCGTCGCTAAACCTAAAAGAGAAACAGAATTTGACCTTATTATGTTATTTATAATGATTGCCATATGAATACAGTATGACATTAGAAAATTATGTAGTGGATAACATTAGTAACCTTTTAGTATTTGCCCTTTTCAACATCAATTGAATTAATAATCGAGGTCACCAGGCACGTAAAATTGTTGGCATCATTCAATTTGCAAGATGTAGTGAGTTGAGTTATGCTTCTCAAAGGTGTAAACAGTTTCCATCACACAAATCTTCAGTATTTACTCGTCATAAACTCAATTAATCAGCCTCAAGTTCTATTTGAAATATTGATATTCCTCACTGGACAATAATTATTAAAAATAATAATGACGAATTTATACTATTTGAAACATGAAATATTTTGCAAGTATGGAATATGTAATAATATGTGATCTATTTTACTGTGTATTTTTTGTACTTGTCAATGTCTAAGTTTTGTTGCGATGCTTTTTTAAACTGAACTTGTAAAACTTGCAATGTAATTTAGCTCTCGGGCTACCATTTTGCAGTTGTTTAAACAAACCATTAGAACTACGTGTGGAATAAAATACTCGTCACTCAAAACCTGGACCCCGTTTCATAAAATCAATAACAAGTTACAAGCTACTGTTATAAGCTACTGAAATCAAGGCATCTGTTGGCTGAGAGCAACTTTATGATAGAAACTGAAGCATTTTTTATAGATAATTTTTTTAATGAAACGGGACCCTGATAATACCGGCGAGACCGACGCCGCCTGACCGACCGTCTGTTGTACGACACGTACGTGCTCTTGCGACAATTCTCTGCGGGCATTTCATACACTTTTTTTATTTTTATTTATTTATTTTCCACATATGGGAAGGATCACCCTTTTCAGCTAAAAGCTGGTCTTCAAAGGGGTCCATCCACAAGATAAAAATACAAATTGTTGATAAAATACATTTGAGATATGATTACAATGATAAACAAGCAAACAAAACAAAAACAAATCATTATATATACATTAAGAAAAACAGAAATGTGCAGGATAGGCGAAAGAAAGAAACAAGGAATAGAGAGGCGAGAGAGAAAACCAAATATAAAATTGTTGCGTATAAAACAATCAAAACATAGTAAAACAAATCATCTGATGGGGTTACTCTGAAGGAAGTGTTTAAATGCTTGAATTGAGACTATTGATTGAGCGATGTTACTAAGTGAATTCCATAGCTTTGAACCCCGATAGACAAGTGATCGTTTACCGTAATTAGTTTTGGGTTGGGAAAGTTTTAATTTACGTGGGCCAGATCTTGTATTATATTTTGATTGGTGGAAAGAAAAAAAATTGCTAAGATAGGTTGGGCAGAGTTGGTGAATTGATCGGTACATGATACAAGCTAGGTGTTTTGACCATCGCTCGTTCAGACGGTCTAGTTTAAGTAATCGGTATAAATCATTAGAAGGAAACAAATAATCCACTTTTAACACTGTACGGAGAGCTCTATTTTGTAGAATTTGTAATTTTCCAAGATATGTTTTACAGGTATTTGTCCAAACCGGACTGCAGTAATCAAAATGGCTTTGCAATATGGTTTTGTAGAACAACAGTGCCGT